AATTTATAATTTATTTATTTTGATTTTTCCGCGAGTGGTCTATCACAAATTAGACCATTAGTAGAGTAGCCAATCACAGCGCAGTATGAGTGATAGACCATTAATATGTTTATACTAATAGACAATATGCAGCGAACAAATTTTTTTACAAAAGGCACATGGGAGACTTGTTTCTCGCACTTTTTCATGTTCGCCAAAGCACTTAGTTTAAACTTTTTTGCACTTAACTTTGGGAGGACTGAATGATAATGACAATGACAATAGTAATGTGACAAGAACAATCTTGTGACAAACGTCACGCAATCCTCACCTCGGTGATACTCTTTGCTCTGGGTAGCAGACATCTTTGCAACATACTCCCAGTCAGTAATTCACTATTACTTAGGCTGATTGACAACTCGCCAATCATTTCGCCCCTTGTAAATCCATCTTTTTGAAGGATTTTGATGCGTAAATGTGCCTGCAGAAGTTCATCGTTGTCGATGTCATCGAATATAAAGACTTCATCGTAGATTGGGTTGCAGGTCTTTTTCAGAACCTAGTGAAAATGGTAAAGTTTTTGGTTATGGATGTGAAATCGGCTGATATACTGCAAAAATCCCGCACTTTAATTAAAGGTTGTAAGTTTGATTTAAATATGATGTAAGTGTCCAAAATGATGTAAATTTAACGTAGCTAGGAGAGGAACTTCTCAGATATCTTAATGACAGTTTCTCAAATCTAATTGTCGCACAAGATTTCGCTGTTCAAATGCGGCCGTCATTTTCTTACTTTTGGTAACGGCAGTGCTTAAAGAAAAATGTTTTTGTTGCGTGAAAAGTTGGAAAATATTAAACAACTTCAACAGCAAAAGATGTTACTCCGGTTTAAACAGTTTAATGTTGATACTAGAGACAATGATACACAGGTCATCCAATGAAAAAACAAAGCTTGCGCCCCCTTCACTCTGACACACTCGTTCCTTCCCTCCTGCCTAGGCTTCTAAGTGTTCAAATTCGGACGGCTCACCTTACTTTGTTGTCGAAGCTGTTTCGATGGCATGATCATGTACAACCTTGCAAACGTGTCCAATAAATTGTTATTCTTCATGGGTAAATCAGTAGCGTTTACTAAATGAACAACAAGCTTCTTGTCATCTTTGTTGTACTTAATTGAAAGCGACAAGTTCCCGCGCTTAGAAGCTGGAAGCTCTACTGATGACTTGACGCCTAATAAACTGTCCGACGACATTTGACGGCGGTTGAAGTCACCAAACCACTTCTTTTGAGGAAGTTTTTGCGTCATTGTGCTCTCGGGGCARCTTGTTTTCTTCACAAGCATCGGYTTTGTACGTTTGTGCTTGATGCTAGCTGCATCGGACGATATTCGTGGACGAATGGATGAAGATTGGTCTGTGCTTGAAGAGTTGGAAAATGTCCGGATTCTTTCTGTGTATCTTCTTTCTGCAGAAAGTGTATAAATGAAAATAGAAAAAGATAAAGAAGATGGTACCTATTGATCGTTTTCAATCATTCCCATGAGATTCAAAAGATGAAAGAACGGCGGCCATGTTGGAGGAATGAGCAATAGATACTAATGAGAAATCCTTTGTCGAAGTTCCTCCAAGATGGCGGCTGTGACGTAAAATGAAAACGAAGAATTCAACCTTTTCCAACTTTAGTTACCGACAAATATGAGCCTAAATTCTGACCGGCAGTTTTTCAGCAGTCTGTAGGCATTCCAGTGACCGAAGTTATAAATTTTAATTCAAAAAGTCTTTAAAAAGACTCTGGGTTTCAGATTTAGCTTAACTGCATACAAACTAAAATGCATAACCGCTTACCAAATTTAGAAGGTGACGAAGGCGCAGACGAATTGCTACCTGTTGATGCCGACACATTTCGCACGTTCGTTTTCCCTGCAAGCAAATAGGGAAAGAACAGCGATTCACGGCGGGAGCTGGACCAAGGACCGGTTGCCTCCGTTCTGTTCTCGTCGTTTTCCTGATCGGGAAACATTGATACATCCATAACTGACTCGAGTCTTCTTATCACTGGACCACTGGTTGCCTAATAGGAATGAAATGGAGTAAAAAAAGACATAACCTAATTTGGAATGACGTTAGGAGTTACACAGKAAGCCCTTAGAYAACAAACCTCTTCATTGTCTAAAATGATGTAATCTTCATCCGGCTGCACAAGCAAAGAATCAGTAGTGCCGAGCGAACTCGTTTGCTTCACAGGATCAAAAACTTCGYTGTCTTTTTCTAATTTACTTTGTACAAATATTGGAAGCATCAGTGGGATTGTGAAGTCTGGTACTTGTGAAGGGAGGTTGAGATGTCCCACGATGCCATTCGCGTGAGATTTCTTACGTGCCCAGCYTCTTTTCATGTAATATCGTATTAGAACGAAGATGGCAACCAGGATGATTACTCCTGCACCCGTGGAAACACCTATGTAGACGCCAAGCTTCCATCCAACTGAAATACAAACATAAGGTGTCAACATCTATCAACCCTATGGAACTCGACCGAAATGTAGTATGGGTACAATGACATGCTTCGTTACATTGTCCTAAACGTTTCGTGCGGGAAACAACCAAAGGAGTCACTGTGAATAAAACTCACATTTGCTATTTTGAGCATTTCGTCGATGATGCCCCTTATTTGCATAACGTTCAGTCATTGAATCATTCTTATCCATAATCCTTTTCGGTTTTAATATCGAGGCCCAAGCAGAGGGCCGAACAGTGCAAAACACTTTTAAACAAAATAACGTTTTAACTTATCAGTATATCGTATGGAATTTTCTGTTGTTTAACTTTCGAAATCCATATCGTTGTTTTGAGCTCATTTATATTAGGAGTGACTCTAATAAAAAGAAATTTGAACGGAATTTACTCGACGAATTGAGCTTCGACGTTTGACCCTGGTCTAACTCTCCATCTTTTCAGAAATTTAAGAATAACAGTGATATACCTAAATTATTTTCACAGAAGATTAAATAGTATTCGCCACTCAAACTTATAAAATACCTTTGCTCTGGGTCAACCTTTTATCGACTGCCGTCAATCAAAAACGCCAGGATTTCAGACGAAAGATGATAATGCCAAGTACAACAGAGAGCTTCTTAACCACTGATAATAGGAGCGAATGATAGATATGTTCTTCCGTTTTTTAAACAAAATGGTACGCTAGCGATGATAGGCTGTAAATCTGTACACTTTAACGTGCGCTCTGATTGGTTGGAAAGCTATATCAGATGGTGTACGACACGGGTTCGCAAAGCTCGATGGGTGATAATCAAAAGTTTGGTTTGCTTTGGACCGTCTTTGTTCAAACTTTAAGAAGTAAAGGCGACAAAGATCAAGTTTATTTTTTTAACAAAAATTTGGTCCGAGAATGAAACAGTCTCACATTAATTGAACATCGTTGAAATATTAGCTGAACGCACAGATGTCACTATTTTAAAACGCGCCTTCGCTAATTGGATAAAACTTATGGTCTGATTATTTGTACCAAAGATATCGCACATGCGCAGAACTGCATAATCATCGAAGGTCTTTGGTGATAGTCTGTTGTCCTTGTTTTTGAGCAAATGAGTGAATATTAGAATTTTAGCTATCAAAGCCTGTAAAATTACGATTACGGACCTTACCAATCATTAATAAAAAAGTACCTTACAAATCTTAGTGTAAAGTCTTAGTGCTGTGTAATGGGGAAGAATAGAAAGGGTAATAATTTGAGCCTAAAACCCCATGACTGAAAGACTTCGTGTCTTCGAAGGCAAAGTACTTCACTCGTCAATATTTTGTCTTTCTTAAGCTCGCATCTCTCTACACTTATTTGTAATTTGACTAAAGAGCCGTCAGAAATATACCGCCGTCTAGCTAAGCAGGGCAAGGAGTTCCCATGGTGTGACAGGGATGCGACGATGTGCTATTATTTTATAATTATTCGAATTTGAGAGGATAAAAATTGGGAATGACGCTTCGTGAACRTATTTA